GGGAGGGGGTGGATGGTGCAGAAAAACAAAATAACAGAAAATTGAAAATACAAAACAAAAAAAAAAAGTAAAATTGGGGTAACTAAATAAATTTCTACATAAGTTGGGTTGAGATACCTTTTTGTTTTGGGTGAGTTTCATGGATTGTATTTGGGTTGCTTAATGGGTCAAAATGAGCTATAAAATATAATGAGTTAATTTGGGCTGAACCCAAATTAACCAATAAGCTAAAATGTTTGTAACTCAACCCATTAATCTCTGGGCAGGTTGGACATGTTAAATGAGTTTGGGCTCAAATTGCCACCCATTCACTATAACATATGCTTGTTACTTCAACTCTGGATAAGGAGTATGAGCCATTTTCCATAATAAATTCTTGTTTGTTTATAATTATTATTTTTGGATAAGAGTGGACCCGTGAATAGTGTAGAAATGACACCAGTTAGCCACTTTAAAGGGTATTATTTAGAAATTAGCCAGTATATTATGAATTTCATTTTTTCAGTTCAATTTTTCAGTACAAAAATATCCTGAATTGTCCTATAGTTACGATTTTTAGTTTAATATTTCAGGACAAAATAAATATGAATTAATCTCTAAATAGCTTCCCTGAGAATGGCTATTTGTGCATTTGCCACGTGAATAGTGAATAAAAGAAGAATGAATAAACGAAGATAGAAGCGGGCGTCTAGAAACTTTAACAAGGGTTTAAAAAAAGCTACACTAAAAATTTTCTTTTTATAAAGAGGAATAAGTTACATATATACCTAAAAGAAATAATTTTATGCATATATACAGTACAATTTTCCGGCAGAAGGATATAATTGAACCCCTTCACCATACATATGAGAGCTCTAATGGCGAAAATGGGCCATTATATACAACAACTCTACATAAATGTCTAAATTCCAAACGTTCCGGTTAATGTACAATGGCCCAAATAGAGGCCCAGCGTAATAAAAATAAGATTTTTTTCGTTCATATATAATATTTGAAATTTATTTATTAAAATTATTCTAATTTGTATATTATCCGTCCTAAATAAGAATTTTTTATAATTTATATACAATTTGTTATTAGTGCTTTAAATTAGGAGATTCAGTTATAGTCTTTTCATTTTTTCTCTTTTTTCTTTTCTTTATATACAATCCATTATTAGAGCTTTAAATTATGGGATTCAATTACACCAGTTTTCCTTATTTTCCTCTCTCGTACCCTCTTTTCAATAGTGCCTTAACTGTAGTACAACAATTCCAATAAAGTCGAACCATAGTAACGTAAAATAGTTCAAGAATTAATTGAGAACCAAATTTTATAAAATTATTTTAATAGCTTGAACCAGAAAGTAGCATCAAACCAAAGCAATAGATACAATGACGATAGACATCACCTAAACCAAACAAGTTGAATGCCGGAATATTTAAATTTGATATAAATTTGATACATCCTCAACAACATATAAACTAAAAATAAATTTTATACAACTAATTATATAGTATGCAACTTATTTATATCTTACCTTTAACTTTCATGCATCATTTTTACCCTGTTAAAAATAAATACAATATCATACAACTTAAATACAATTTTCATACAAATTTTATACAAATATGTCTTTTGTATATGGTTTATATATATTTTTTATGTGTGTGTTCTTGTTCTTCTCTGAAATTCCAATCAAAACTTCCTCTCTTAATACAATTTTGATATATATCAATAACTTTACACAAAGAAAGTATTTATAACTAAAATACAAATTTCATACATGATACAATTATTTTTCAACTTTCATACAATATTCAAATAATAAAAATATAACTACAACATAACACAACTTAAATACAATTTTAATACATCTTCCGATTTCAATCTATAAATTCATCCAAAATCAACTCTAATTTTCACCAAAACCCTTCAAAATTGAGATATAAACTCGAAAGAATATTCTCGATCGTTTGCAGCAATACCCAATCAAAACAGCGGTGTTAATACATTATTTTTGGAACAAAACCAGCCATGGGGGATGAAATCCTAGGGTAAGTTACACTTAAGTTGGCAGATTTAATTCATAGAATTATATCTTATGCCATTAAATAACCTCATTTTTCCATTTTGTTGGATTGCAATTGTTGTCTCATTTTCTGTTTTGCTTTCAAAGATTGGACAATATCAATTTTCTTTTCTTGTAATTTTTATTTTTCTATTTTGTTTGTTTTCATATGTTTTTCCCTCCCGTTACTACACATATTGGTTACCTTTTTTGCCTATATTTTTCCTTTAATATCTCCTCCTAATTTTATGTAAAAATCCCTAAAAATTAATTTTTTCGTTAAAATACCCTTATCATTATCTCTTATAAATTCAAAGGGCTTCAATGGAGAAAAGGGAGGAATACCAAGACAAAAAAAAAAAAAAAAAAAAAAAACATTCACATAAGATTTCATGTTGCAAAAAGTTATATCAAATTTGGCTCTAACTTCTTATCAAAATTTTACATGAGTTTATTCGAAAAAAACTATACATGAGTAAAAATTGATTATAATCATAACAACTATAATATACTCCACAATAAAGGCTTATAAAAATAAAGTAATAATATTGCCAACTCTACATTAGTTGCAACTTACAATTTATAATCATTATAACTCTTATATGCCTATAAATCAGCATTTGTGCCCAGTGTATTTGTGAAGTTATAAAAGCTTCTCATTAAGGGTAAAATTGTAAGTTTAAACTAAATTGTTTTCAAATTTAGAAAGAGGTCATTCTTTTTTGGAACAGACCAAAAAGGAAATAGGTTAACATAAACTGGAACGGAGAAAGTACACGATATTATTTGGTAAAAGGTACCACTATTAACCTTTTCAATTTTTGTACTAATTAATGTAGTTTTACATATGCTCATATCTTTAAAATGCAGTTATCTTTTATCATACGTGATTCCTATCGTGTATAAAAAGATTATATAGCATGCACATCAAGTTCTTCGAATAATTGCCAAGGTAAAAATTGATTGATCTTATATATAATTATTATTATTATTATTTAGTCATATTTATTTTTCTTTAATAACTGTGCGAAGCGCGGACAAATTTATTAGTTATAATAATAAACTTGGAGGAAACCTCCGTACTAACAAGTAAAGCTGCTGCTTATTCTATAATTAATTTCAATCAATTATGTATGTTATACTATTCATACGTCAAATCAAGTATTATTGGGCAGGAGTTAGTGAAACATTAAGGGCCCGTTTGGCCATAAAAAAAGAATTCACTTTTTTTAAAAATCATTTTTTGGTCATAGCATCTTCAATTTTTACTTGAAAACAAATTTTGGATTTTTTTGAAAATTTGAAAAACTCCAAAAGGCTAACTTTTCAAAATTTTCACGTTAGATCACTCACAAAAATTCAAAAATAACCCAAAATTATATTCCTGTCCAAACACAACTCTAATTTTCAAATACCATTTTCACTTACAAAATAATTTCACTTTTTTCCGGAATTTTATAATTCTTATGTCCAAACGCCCACTAAATCATTAACTCCCGAGTCATTCTAATTCTACCTGTATTTTAGCTGAGAACTCTACTCTGCACACAAGTTCATCAATAAACAAAATAAACAGCTTAAATCCTTTAGCCATAATGAAGATTCCAAGAACAATTTTTTTACTTCAGTTTTTCACTTTCTTATATCTCTTCACATTTACTCTTGCTTCCACTGAGGAAGCAACTGCTCTCCTCAAATGGAAAGCCACTTTCCAAAACCAGAATAATACCTTGTTGGCTTCATGGAAACTAAGTCCTGTTGGTTCCAAGAATTCTTCCGGCATTGGAGCGGCGAGTTCTGGTGCATGCAGGGGCTGGTATGGAGTTATATGCGTTAACGATAGGGTAAACAGGTTGAATATTACAAATGCTGGTGTCATCGGCACGCTCTATGATTTTCCATGTTCGTCCCTCCCTTTTCTTGAATATGTTGATCTTAGCATGAACCAGCTCTCTGGCACTATCCCACCTGAAATAGGCAAACTCACTAATCTTGTCTATCTTGACTTGTCGACTAATCAGATTTCAGGCACAATCCCACCACAAATTGGCGCACTTGTCAATCTTGTTGAAGCTCGTCTTGAGAAAAACCAATTAACAGATCATATTCCTCCAGAAATAGGTAACTTGATCAATGCAAAAATTTTCTATGCTTTCTCCAATGAATTGTCTGGTGCCATTCCTGCTGAAATAGGGAAGATGAAGTCACTTAAGCAATTATTGTTATATAGAAACAATCTTTCTGGTCCAATCCCAAACAGTATAGGTGACTTAATTGATCTCACACTTCTGTACCTTTATGTTAACAAACTTTCTGGCTCCATTCCTAGTGAGTTGGGAAATCTGGAAAACCTCATGGATCTTGAATTATCCCGTAATCAACTTACCGGTCCAATTCCTGCTTCATTTGGCAATTTAAGAAAATTGCAATTTCTGTTTCTCCATGTTAATAGACTTTCTGGCTCCATTCCTGCAGAAATAGGAAAGATGAAGTCACTTCAGCATTTAATCTTACAGGCTAACAATCTTTCTGGTCAAATTCCAAAAACTCTAGGTGACTTAACTGAGCTCAAAACTCTGTACCTTTATGTTAACAAACTTTCTGGCTCCATTCCTGCCGAAATAGGGAAACTTGTCAATCTTATTGAAGCTGATCTTGATACAAACCAGTTAACAGGTCGTATTCCTGTAGAAATAAGTAACATGATCAATGCAAAACTGTTCTATGCTTACTCAAACGAATTGTCTGGTCTCATTCCCAGTGAGTTGGGGAATCTGAAAAATCTCACTCGTCTTGATATATCCAGTAATCAACTTACTGGTTCAATTCCTGCTTCATTTGGCAATTTGAGAAACTTGCAAGTTCTGTCTCTCCATCACAACAAACTTTCAGGTTCCATTCCTAAAGAACTTGAATATTTAGATAACTTGGTTGTGCTGGCATTGGGTGTAAATCAGTTTTCAGGCCAATTGCCAGAGCATCTTTGCCAAGCTGGGAAGCTTGTGAGCTTCTCGGTGACTAGTAACAAGCTGACAGGGCCAATATCACGAAGCTTGAGCAAGTGCTCGAGTTTCCAATGGGTTCGTTTTTCTAACAACAGTTTCACTGGGAATTTATCTGAAGCTTTTGGCATCTATCCAGAGCTTCAGTTCATCGATTTGAGTGACAATGACTTTCATGGAGAACTCAGCAGCAACTGGGGGAAATGCAAGAATCTGACTGATCTGCAGATAGCCAGAAATAACATTAGTGGTAGCATACCACCAGAGATTGGAAATCTCAAAGGGCTTCTAGGACTTGATCTTTCATCGAATCAATTAGTTGGGCAGATTCCTAAGGATTTTGGAAAATTGACCTCTTTAGTTAACTTATTTGTGAAAAACAACCACATTCATGGTAGTATTCCTACGGAGCTTGAGTCACTAACAAAGTTAGAGTCCCTTGATCTGTCAGATAATAGATTGAACGGGCCGATTCCAACATTTATAGGAGGTTACACGAACATGTTTCTCTTGAACCTGAGCAACAACAAGTTCGGCCAGAAAATTCCAGAAGAGATAGGTAGGATAACTCATCTTAGTGTACTTGATTTGAGCCATAACCTTCTTGATGGAGAAATACCCCCTCCATTAGCCAGTTTGCTAGACTTGGCAGACTTGAATCTTTCTCACAATGGCCTCTCTGGCCGCATTCCTGAAGAATTTGAAAGTTTAACTGCTTTGCAGGATGTTGTCTTGTCATACAATGAGTTGGAAGGTCCAATACCAAATAATAAAGCTTTTTTGACTGCCTTATTAGAAGGTAATAAAGGTCTTTGTGGCAATGTAACAGGATTCCAGCCTTGCGAAAGTCCATTTTCTGTGGTGAAGAAGAACTCAAGACGTAAAAAAATCCTCATCACTGTACTTCCTGTTATGGGAGCACTAGTACTTCTCTGTGCTTTCATTGGTGTTCTACTTATGTGTAATAAAAGAAGGAAATTTAAAGATGTTGAAAGACGGGATGATGGTTTGTTTTCCATAACCATGTTAGATGGAAAAGCATTGTACAAGGATATCTTAAACGCCACACAGGAGTTTGATTCAACATTTTGCATTGGGAAAGGAGGACATGGAAGCGTTTACAAGGTAAACCTTCCATCATTAGGGAATATAGCTGTGAAGAGACTTCATTCTTCATTTGAGAATACACATCGCAAAAGCTTCATGAATGAGGTAAGGGCATTGATAGGGACTAAGCATCGGAACATTGTGAAACTTTATGGCTATTGTTCGAATGCAGAACACTCGTTCTTGGTTTACGAGTACGCCGAGAGGGGGAGTTTGTCTAGTATTTTGAGTAATGAAATTGAGTCCAAGAATTTGGATTGGCTTAAAAGGGTGAATATCATCAAAGGTGTTGCTTTTGCTTTATCTTACCTGCACCAGGATTGCTCACCACCGATTGTTCATCGAGACATATCAAGCAGTAATGTTTTGCTTGATTCTGAGTATGAAGCTCGTGTTTCAGATTTTGGCATAGCTAAGCTTCTCATGCCAGACTCATCCAATTGCACTGTGCTTGCAGGCACATATGGCTATGTTGCACCTGGTACGGTCTAACTTTTTACCCTTTTTTTAACAATTTCATGAAGTATAGCCGCACACTCTGTGCTGTTTTTATCTCATTTTACACGTTTGAATTCTTATACTGTTTTGGAAATTGTATTGTTTCAGAGCTTGCATATACAATGAAGGTTACACAAATGTGTGATGTCTATAGCTTTGGAGTATTAACATTGGAGATAATCAAAGGAAAGCATCTTGGGGAATGCATTACTCTGCTAGCAAATTCATCGAGTAGAGATCATGTGCAGCTTAGTGATTTGTTGGATGAACGCCTTCCATGTCCTGAAGATAGAGTAAAAGAGGTTTTGGTTTTCATCATCAATCTAGCAAGCTCTTGTTTGCTTGAAACTCCAAAATCAAGGCCAACAATGCACTTCATCTCTCATAGGTTATCATCAATGGATCTACGTCCACCTACTCATCAGATAAACCCCCATGTAAGGCGAGCTATATAATCCCTGATACGTAAGGTGTCTTTTTATGGAAATGAATAACCTTTGACACCAAGTGGTTGTGATGCAAGTAATTTGATGAGAAGGTCCATGACAAAATCTAGAAGATACTGTTTCGTTACTAGATTTTCTAGAAGCCTTGTAGTAACCTCGTAAGAAGGGTAAAGTTCTCTTTTGCTTAATCTACTTTGTAAATATGGTGCCCAGCGCTTCCTTACTGTTACCATTCTAAAAAAAAAGGTCCATGACAAAAGTATTACTGGGATTAATATTTCTATATTGTTAGGGTGCTTATAAAATATGATTCACACTGTAAATTTGTATAACGACATTTAAGCCAGATACCAAAATATTCCAGCTTTATAAACAAAAAAACAATCACTGCCTGGTCACAAACATATATCAGAAATAAAATTATGATACTCGAATCAGTGCAATTCAGAATCCAGAAGTATTCACATAAGGGATGAATTGTGCAACCATAGATAATCCAGACGTATCTATTTTTCAGATAGGCCAATAAAAAAATAGAGAAATAGAACTTATTATCTGCGTTTATAGATAATTCACTAAATGAAGGAATACCTCTGACTTCAATGGGTGGAGTGTGCAACCAGGAATCATCCAAGAAAGTGCATGCAACTTCAGCTTCAGTAGGCCATTCAGCGCCGACATCTATTTCGTCAAAATTGATTGGTTTACATTTGCCATCTTTACTTCTTACAATTGCCTGTAACCAGAGATTGCAGTGCACATAAACAAGATCGTCAAATCTATCAAGCTCCAACCTGTCCCGTCTTTTGCTATGAACGCTATCAAAAGTGCTCCAGTTCCATCTACACCAGTGCAGACTGCAAGGTTGACTCAAAATCCGTATAGCAGCTCTCTGTAGACTTGGAATTTCGTAACCATAACACATCCACCAATCAGCTGAAGACACATAGAGCAGACTTTAAAATGCTATGACGATTGAAGGAATAAAATATCAAATCAACTAGAAATCTTGTTTCCTATATGTTAATGGTAGAATAAGCCTATCAACTTCTTTCCTAAACATTATGCTAGAGTTTATAAATATATTATTTGACTTACAGTATAAAGTATAAACTAGATGTTTATGTACATATTACAGCTTATAAATCAAACCAGAGATCCACTTCCTAACAAGTGAATATTATGCAAGTGAACTTCTGGCAATTGAAGTTTAACCATATATACCTGGGGCATTCAGTGTCCTTCCCTTTATTGCAAAATCAGTCCCTAGAGCACCTTGAGCATTTATGTATATGGGATGTTCTTTAGTAATTTCTATATTATTTTTATCCTCGGAAGCCATTTTCATCATGGCCTCTTGAAAACCGTTCCTGATCCTTGAATCAATCTTAAAGCTTGGGTTGTAGAAAATGGAAGGATTAAGGAATGCTGCTGCTGCATGTAATGGGGATTGAAGAAGCATGCTCCATCTCCTGTCAATTATATCCCAAACCGGCGCATAGTTTTCCTCAATATCCTTATAGAATGCTTTGATGGACATCTTTGCTCTTTCCACTCCGTCATACATATATGCCATAGCAGGCATGTCTCCATCCATGATCCTTAACAGTTTAAGTAATGGTTCGGACACCGTGACAGCTTCACGTGCAGATCTCCAGAATCTTTCAAGGCACAACAATGACTTTATGGCCTGGACGTCGGGGTGCCTACTATATATAGATGACAACCACTCGGCACGAGAAAACATGTGTTTTAAATTATCCTCTTGGGTCACAAGGGCCCTTAAGGAAAGGAAATTAGCCACATGTTTTGTGATTCTTGGTCGAACGAACTCCTCTCCACCTGAAAATTTTCTCATCATATCTAGAATCCAGTCATTACCATATATGTACTTTGTGATAGTATTTGCCTCGTCAAGAACAACATTCACCCACTCACGTTTGCTAAAATCCTCCAACATTTTATTGATACAATGTGAAGCGCACGGAGACCAGAAAACCGAAGGGTACTTGTCTGTCAGAAGCCTTCCCGCATATACGTAACTAGCAGAACTATCAGTAATAACTTGGACAACATTTTTCATGCCAATTTCCAGAACAACTGATTCAAGCAACCCAAATAAATAATGAGGATCATCTGCGTGATCAGATACGTCTACAGACCTAAGGAACAATGTCCCTTTGGCACATGCCACAGAAAGTACCACAAGGGATTTAGCCTTTCCATCGGACCAGCAATCACACAGGATTGTACAGCCCGTTTCTTTCCATTCATCCTTTAATCTCTTGTAACTGTCGTTAATATCGACTTTGACTTTTTCCAAAAGATGACCGCCCAAATTTTCAGCACATGGAGCTTTATACCCTACTTCGCACTCAAGAATCGCGTCCACCATTTCCTGATAGTACAAGGACTTTGCAGCTGTAAAAGGTATTGCATTGTGGTAGAAAAACGCAGCAATCTTCTTATCAGCATTGTCCTGTTTTTGCTTTTGAACATCATCAATTGCTGGCTGTGAACTCGGAGAATGGCGCGCAAACATAATAGAAGGACAAGGGCTACCATTCTCTCCACTAAATCCACGAAGAGGATGGACTCCACCACTAGCTGAAGAGCTTCTTTGCTGATAATTGGCAGCTTGATCCAGCTTTGGTTTCTTAGGATTTTTCTGTTTCTTCGGAGTGTTTAAAATGCTTCTAATGTGGTCTCTCACCTCATTCGGGACCTCAGCACATGGAATTATGTCTTTGTTTTTAATTTGAGCCAAATGAAACTTCATTCTGTAAACTCCTCCACTGAACTCCCGCCGACAGTAGTTACATCTTACCTTCTGTCTTGTAGCATCAACAAGGAGACAGTGTTCCCAACAGGCATCTCTTCCTCTAACCATAACTATTAGACTAAGCAAAAGAGGTTTTTCCCCTGTACTAGTAGTAATAATATAAATGAGCTGTAAATTAAAGCTATCTACATCATATCAAAACTTGAACAAAATAAAAACATTGTCATTGGATATGTAATATGTAGTCTGGTATGCAGGAATGAAATTACCACAACAGATCTATAAAGTATGGAATTGACAAGAATATGTGACATTGCAATAACCAATATCCCATGTGTCCCATTTTATTTGATGTTGTTTAACGGAGTTTAACAAAGAAAGAAAGACTTTTGAAACTTATGGTCTGGAACAAGTCATAAATATTTGTGTGACTATAAATCATGTCGTTATACGCGATGTTGCGAAAAATACTGATTCAACGAGATATGCCTGCATGTCGAGAGTTCGCTCCCAGCTAAGGAAAGAGATAGAGAATTCATGTACTTCACTATTTCTTGCGGATCTATCGTATCGTTGCTTCTCTCTGATTGTAATTTCCCATGTGCCTTACTATACCGCTAAGGAAAACAAACAAGAACCAGGTAAAATATAAAGTTTAACATTAAATTATTTCTTAATATAAAAAAAGTATTTATTTTCTTGGGACAGACTAAAAAAGAAAGTGTATCACATAAATAGGGACAAATGGAGTAATAATGTTACTTTATATAGCTTTAGAGACTTCAATTTTATTTTTAGTACTTAAATTTTAAAACTTTGAGGTGATATTTTCCCTGTCAAACTAATTTTCCAACTGTTACTCTATTGATGCAGCGTTTTACCTGCTAGTTTTTACTATACCAGCCATCTATTTCGTATTTCATATCTCTTATATTGCTGTTATTTTATTATGCATTTTTATGGTACTAATATATCGTCTCCTGTTGCTTTTTTTTTTTTTTTTTTTTTTTTTTTGAGCCGAGGGTCTCCTGGAAACAGCCTCTATACCCTTCGGGTAGGGGTAAGGTCAGCGTACATATTACCCTCCCCAAACCTCACTTGTGGGATTATACTGAGTCGTCGTTGTTGTTACTCTAATACTTTTCTTCAACTTCAATTAATATAATATACAAGTCAAACTAATAGCTTAAACTTAGTATCTAGTCGAACACCGTCATATAAAATGCTAACATAAGCAAGAATAAGCATTAACCACCTACAAAGTTCAAGGAACAAGCCAGGTAATTAATCAAAATACTAAGTTTAGCTCATTTTATCAGTTTGAAGCATTAAACTAAAAAATATCAAACCCTTCTACACAACTACGACAAAATGAGCTAATTTTTAATATTATAGCATCTAGTTATAGAAGGATCTAGAATATTCGACGGAGAGGACTATTTACCTGGTGGTTATTTTGGTTGTTGACGGTGTTTGACGGTGGTGTAAGAAAAGTCGGTGATGGCGATCCGAGGAAATGAAAGACCACGGCGATGAATTTGCTGTAATCGCCCAGCCGATTTTTTAGGGCGAGTTAACGAGAAGATCGGTCCTTGCCTTCTCACGTGATGCTCACGTGCATTATATTTGGGCTCCTCCCGAAGTCTTTGGCATTCGGGTCGGTGCCCAGCCCATATTTTGATTTTATTAATTCTTCATTTACTGGAATTTTACGCAATAGCCAGTTGAGTTTACTGTTTATTTTTCTTAGTCGGTATAATTAACTTAAATATTCGTCCACCCAATAACTTAAAATTATAATAGATGGTGGATATATAATATATGTATAATTCATATATAATATGTGTATAATCGTATATAATCATTGTATTATTTATATATATTGGCTAGAAAAAGTAAATAGTGAACTAGATCGGCTATTTTGTAAAGACCCCTAATTATTCATTACTAACGTCTCTCAACTTTTTAGGGGTAATATTTTCTGAAACAATATTTCTTGTTTATAATAAAAATTAATAATGTAACATAATTAATGGGTGTCAGTGCATGTTACTAAGGTACTAAATTTGGTATGCTGTACAATGAAGTCATTTTATTAAAGTAAATCTTAATTTGCGTTAGATGGAATATGATGTAAAAATTGCACGACGCGCCCTATTTGGTCGTCCCTATTTAATCTATATCCATATTTTTAAAATTATTTAACTTATACCCTAATTTTTACAACTTTAGGCCCCTCCTTCTTTCTGCTACCTGTGCGCTCCTTTCTTCTTCATTTCTTTTCCTCTTCCGCAAATGAAACTCTCATGTTTTGCCTAGCTCTAGGATCTTCCTTATGTGGTCTTGTGCTTACTGATAAACTAAGAAAGTATTTAGTCGATGATTCTTGAGATTTAGCAAATATGTGGCATGAAAAAACTTCTCATCTTTTTTCACAAGAAAACACATGAGTCCTGAAAGAATAGCCGCTGTAATCACTTTCATCGCCTCCAAAGTTTTCCTTCTCCAACTGTCTCTGACTCGATAGTTTGAATGCAGTGCAGTGCCCAACATAGAACAAGATTGGGAGTTGAAATTCCATGTTTTCATTGCCAATTCATTCAAACATAAGAAATCAGATGGGAAGAGTTTACATAGTAATGTAAACTGCAATGTTACTTGATGAACATAAATGATATAATTTATGAAATTTTTCAAGCTACTGCTACAAACTTAATAAGATCACATCAGGTTTAGGGATAGCTTCTTTGAGGCAGTAGACCTATAACGAGTTTGTGACTTTAAATACAGTCCATAAATCAGTTGAAGTTCAGCAAATATAGAACAAAACTTCAGCTAAAACATGTTGAAGTTCAGCAAATAGAGAACAAAACTTCAGCTAGTAGAATGCTTAAGTTCAACAATTACAAACAAAAACTTCAGCCAATACTAAGTTTATGCGAAATTTTTTAGCTAAAACATGCTAAAGTTCAGCAAATAGAGAACAAAACTTCAGCTAGTAGAATGCTTAAGTTCGGCAATTACAAACAACTTCAGGCCTGTCTACTAGAATGCTGAAGTTTGCGTGATTGTCTTTGCTACTTCAGGCCCGTATGCCTGAAGTTTACGCGAAAAGTGGGTATGCTTGTAAATTTTTTTGCAAAGTGAGTATAAGTTAAAACGTGACCCTAAAAGCGGATATAGATGCAAATCCCCCGAATATGATGGGTTTAAGTACTTGGCTATCGAAAAAAGTAGAATTTTCAATCGCAAAATTCCCTTAATTATAAAAAGTTCAGATAAATTGGTTACATGTCGAACGAATTCACTAGCGTAAGGTTAACACTTCACTGTCATACATAAAAAAGGTGATTTCTGTAGAAACAATAAATAATTGAGAAAATGAAAGTGGTAAATACAGTATATTAATTTCAACATAGGTATATACAGTATATTTACAAAGTTTTCTTGATATATACTCGTGAACCCCATTATAATTTGCCTCAAACTTATTATTGGCATGGGAGTAATTCCAATTAACTATTGCTACTACATACTAGCTATATACAATTTCATTTTTCATTTTTTTTGTATGGTTGATCCAAGACTTTATCTTTGGACCCTTCCGCGAATATTAAAGGCAGCACAATGCACAAAGTATTTTGTATTCACATAGAGTTCGGAAAAAGACCGCATCAAAAGGAGTGTGATGGAGACAGTCTACCCTAATGCAAGCATTAATAACTGCTTCTATGGTTCGAACTCGTAACCTATAGACAGCCTACCCATTCGAGAATATATTCTACAAATATTGTACAATATAAACAAAATCTAACTATTTAGTACGTACTCTAGGCATGATACCTTAGTAAACAATTAAACAAGCATGTAAAAAGATCACTATGTTGTAAAGTCTAGCTAGATTTTCTTAGTATGTTCTTTCTTTACCCCCGTTGATTTTTCATCTGAGAAAATCTGCAGGGACTAAGACATGCTTCAATGGAGCGATATAGATGGTAAGAATTCATATAGGAGATCCCGACTTGCTTGGAATTGACGCATAGTTATAAATATTGTTGTAAAATTTGCAGCCAGGGGGCGAAGCTAGAGTGTTGGGAGCGGGTTCAGCCAAATACAGTAGCTTTGATTCGAACTATGTATTTCTCTTAAAAAGTTCATAGAATATGTATAAACTATTAATTTAGAACCCAATAATTTAAAACGATTAGAATTCCAAACTCATAAACTTGAAATTTTGGCTCCGCCTTTATCGACAAGAGGAGCAATATCGATATACAGGTTGGTACTTAGCAGCGTATCATCATCACTAAAGGTGTCAAGAACAAGCAGAGTTTCATCAGTAATGCAAGAAGAGTTTTCATTTGTGGAGAAAGATGAAGATATTGATGAGTTCTCTAGTTCTAAAGAGGTGGCCGATGTGGGGTTCATCCCATGATTTAAGGTATTGATAAAGACTTCTAAGTCTTTTTCTTTGAAATTGGCAGCCACCACAATTCTTGAATTGTCAAGGGAAAAAATGTCAAGATTAGTAGGCATAGCAGATCTGCAGGTGAGAAAATGTCAAATGTAGTAGGCGTAAGAGAGTGAGACTCTGCCTATAAAAGGAGAGCTTCAGCTCTCATCTCGACACACTAATCTCAGAAGAAAAATATATCTGAGAGTTAGAAAGAAAGAGTGAGGTTTCACAGACAGGGTATAAGAAAATAGTCTGTGAGAAAAATAGAGAGTGGGTGATATTGTAGTGAGGTGGAAATATTAAAAGAGGGTTATTTCTTTTGAGTGTTGTAGTGGCCTTTTGAGTATTTTACTCGGACCTACAAAGTGTAAAATTCCTTGCTATAATGATTTCAGTTGCTCTTCTCAGGGCCGTGGTTTTTTCCCTTATTCAAAAGGGTTTTCCACGTAAAAATCTTGGTGTCATTGTTACTTTTTTATTCTTGTTAATTACCGTATCTCGGTGCTACGTTCTTATTCCGCTTTTATTATCGTGAATATTATTTTTGTAGTGGGTTTATTCCCAACAACTGGTATCAGAGCACAGGTTCTGCTCGTTCACTGAAATACTATTCACTGTCAATACTACTATACTCGGTGAAAAATAAAAATGTCCGAAGTAAAGTACGAGGTAGCAAAATTCAACGGAGATAACGGTTTCTCAACATGGTAAAGAAGAATGAGGGATCTGCTCATTCAACAAGGATTACACAAGGTACTAGTTGTTGATGTCAAAAAGTCTGATACCATGAAAGCTGAGAATTGGGCTGACTTGGTTGAAAGAGCTGCTAGTGCAATCAGGTTGCACTTATCAGATGATGTGGTAAATAACATCATTGATGAAGACACTGCACGTGGAATTTGGACAAGGTTGGAAAGCCTATACATGTCCAAAACGCTGACAAATAAATTGTACCTGAAGAAGCAGTTATATGCTCTACACATGGGTGAAGGTACGAATTTTTTGTCACTTTTAAATGTGTTTAACGGACTAATCACATAGCTTGCCAACCTCGGAGTGAAAATCGAGGAAGAAGATAAAGCCATCTTGCTATTGAACTCGTTGCCATCTTCGTACGATAATTTGGCAACAACCATTCTGCACGGTATGACTACTATTGAGTTGAAAGATGTCACATCGGCTCTTCTACTCAATGAGAAGATGAGAAAGAAGCCTGAAAATCAAGGACAGGCTCTCATCACAGAAGGTAGAGGCAGGAGTTATCAAAGGAGTTCGAACAACTATGGTAGATCCGGAGCTCGTGGGAAGTCAAAGAACCGATCCAAATCAAGAGCCAGAAATTGCTACAACTGTGATCAACCAGGTCACTTCAAAAGAGATTGCCCAAATCCAAGGAAGGGCAAAGGTGAAACCAGTGGCCAGAAGAATGACGACAACAGTCGCCACGGTGCAAAACAATGATAATGTTGTCCTCTTTATAAATGAGGACGAGGAATGCATGCACCTGTCAGGTCCAAAGTCGGAATGGGTGGTTGACACAGCGGCATCTTACCATGCCACACCGGTAAGAGATCCTTTTTGCAGATATGTAACAGGTGATTTCGGCACAGTGAGAATGGGTAACACAAAGTACTCAAAGATTGCGGGGATTAGTGATATTTGTATCAAGACAAATGTCGGATGCACATTGGTTCTAAAGGATGTGCGGCATGTACTTGATTTGCGGATGAACTAGATCTCGGGAGTTGCTTTAGACCGAGATGGATACGAGAACTATTTTGCAAATCAAAAGTGGAGACTCACTAAGGGAGCATTGGTGATTGCAAAGGAAGTTGCTCGTGGCACGTTATACAGGACAAATGCAGAAATATGCCAAGGTGAATTGAACGCAGCACAAGATGAGATTTCTGCAGATTTGTGGCACAAAAGAGTGGGTCATATGAGCGAGAAGGGATTGCAGATTCTTTCCAAGAAATCACTCATTTCTTATGCCAAAGGTACATCGGTAAAACCTTGTGACTACTGTTTATTTGGTAAGCAGCATAGAGTCTCATTTCAGACATCGTCTGAAAGAAAATTGAATATACTTGATTTAGTATATTCTGATATTTGTGGCCTAATGAAAATTGAATCAATGGGCGGTAACAAAAATTTTGTTATTTTTATTGATGATGCTTCACGAAAATTATGGGTTTATATCTTGAAAATCAAAGATCAGGTGTTTCAAGTTTTCCAGAAGTTTCATGCTCTAGCAGAAAGGGAGACGAGTCGAAAGCTAAAGCGTCTCCGAAATGACAATGGAGGTGAGTACACTTCAAGGGAATTTGAAGAGTA